AATGGTTGGTTCCCAGTTCACTTCTGAGCATCATTCAAAGTGCTAAGGCTTATTCATACAGCCCTGCACAGCTTGTGAAGTTGAAGTTCCAAAGAACATCTACTGCTATACCATTCTTCTACCATCATAGCAACATCTCGAGGGTACTTCCCATCTTCTGAACTGAGGAACGAGACCTTGGAGGAGAGGTCCTTCTTCATTATGGCACTGTGCCTGTGCCCACCTTAACATCTTATGGTCAGCAACAGGCAAAGCACTTTTTATTTTCTTAGACTTTTAAGAAACTGATAAGATTGATTTCTGCACTACCACCAAATGCCCTGCAACCTGAGCTGAAGATATGCATGCACACCTATTGCTGTTATTGTCCTTCCACCACCACTGCCAGACCACTATATCACTCCAAGGACTGCTTAGAGGGAGATACAGGGCACTGGAGATTCTCTGAAGAGCTGAGGAACTCAACTGACTTTCACTGACAGGAAACTGAGAGAGAGAGAGAGAGAGAGGGAGAGACATTGTGCTAGAAGTATGTGTGGGGGATTCCTGTGCAGCCCCACCTAGAGAGCCCAGCCAGCTGCTGTTCTTCCTTGACATTTGCTAAAGCAGGACAGTAGGGTGCTTATTGTGCCCAAGGAGGTAGCAGGCAGTGGCAAGGACCTTCCTGAGCATGGGGGTGAGCACACCTGCATGTAATTCCTTCCCAGTAAGGCAGAGGACGCACCCCACCTCATAAGAGGGCAGACTTTGATCATTTAGTACTGTTCATTTATCTCCTTTTAATAACGTCTGTTATTTTCATGCATTTCTAAACCTTTCATTGTTCTTTACTGCCAGTTTTATTACATTTTGTGAACCTCCCGGGAAATATTTATATTGAAGAGTCAAGTGTGAATTTATAAAATAAATCAACAAATAAGGGGTAAACTGCAGCTCGCTGGTAGAGTATCTGCTTTACATACATACGGTTGCAAGTTCAAGATACAGTATACCGTTTCTAGGCAGGGCTAGGAAAGCATCCTGTCCGAATCTCTGGAGAGAACCTGCTAGACCAGTGATCTGTGCCAGTATAAGGCAGCTTCTTGTGTTTCTACATTTCCTTTAAATAATAATGCCAACTTTTAATGTTGTGGGTTTTTGCTCCCCGAGGTCCTAATTTGCAGTGTGGGGTAGAAAATGCATTCAGAAATGAAGTAGAATGAACTGGATGATTCTCACCATGCCCTGCCCTGGTTAACATGCAGATGTAAACTGGGTTTGGAGATGCGAAGATGGTGTTCACCTCCTCTGAGAGGGTTACCACCACTATTAAAGACAGAGCTCAAGAAATAGGAATTACATTTTTTAAGCAGTGGTTTTTTTCTTCTTTCAATTTTCCTGGAGGGATCTGTGTTCTATTTAAGTAGGTGAGAAGGAATAATTCAATATTGTTCACACAATATTTATGTAATAATAAAAAGTTGTTTTAGCACTATTTAAAACAGCCATTTTCTTTTAGCAAAAGACAAAAAAAATGTCCAAAGTAAAGGGGGGAAGAGGAGTAAACAACTGTTGAGGGTGACCACAGGCAAAACCATGCAGATTGCTGCATGGGAAAAAGCTTATCATATAAGGTTGAGAAATGTGGCATCTTTAAAAATCTTTCCGGTACAAGACGCTATGGCTATATACTGGGCTACACTTGGTACTCATTCCTTCATGAATCTCCTGGTTAAACAAGCCCTTTTTGCAATTTTATTTTTTCAGACTATTTTTTGATCCAGGGATCACTTCCATAACAAAATACAACACAAGTGAAAGCTAATCATTTACAAATCAAGTCACAATTAACTAGCAAGCAAATTGACTCTGCAAGCAGGCAAAGACCTTTGTCTTCAGGCAGGCTTTTCCTTAGTGACAGACTATCTAGGAGAGGTTTTAAAATGAGGTGATCTGCACTTCGTTGCTTGTGAATTTGTTTTAGTAATTCATGCTTTACCTAACATTCTTAATATGTTACTAATTCATTAAATATTTTAATGTTTCATTGTTTTTATCTTTAATATTTTGTTTTAACAATTTAAGCCACCTTGGATCTTTTCTTAGGAGAAAGGCAGGGCAAAATTTTGTAAATAGTAAAATAAAAGCACATGTCTAAATGTCAAGCTAACAATCAGATATTAATCACCTCACTGAAGGTTTATGAAGTAGAAATATTCATGTGACTCCTAAAAAATATCAGAAAAGAAGCAACTCATTAGATGTCTCTTGAGGGGCTACCATTGAAAAGCTTCTGCTCTCTCTAATTATCTGATTAGCAGAGTTATAGGGAAGAGTTCATATGAGAGCAGGAGTTATTTGAATGACCCTGGCACTAAGTATTGCTAAAGCAATAAAAGCAGTTTAAAAGTCAGTTACCTGTCTGAAATCTTGAACACTTAGGAGTCCAGTCCCACTTTCATCATAAAACTTGAATGTCCGTCTCATTGGTCTCCAGCAATGCAGGATCTGGGGTTGAATCCTCATCATTGCATTGAAAAAGGTTGGTGATTGTGGCCCAGGAGGGTTCTGACAAATGTGGGGGAAATATATTGTTACTGATTAATACACAAGGAAGCCCTACTCAGTGCATGGAGATGGTGACAGTGGGACCATGCTGTTAATCCCACCCCCACCCCGTGTCAGCTGTTCACTGTACCCACCCATAGAAATCTGCACTTTGGCACATATGTAGGTTTTCTTAGTACAGACATCTGTGCCAACTGATGGACATTCAAGGATTTGGTCTAGAGAATGTATGATGTTAGCAGGGCTGCCCACTACTCCACAAACTTAAGCTAGGAGTAGTTGAGGGTCTTAGAGGTGACAACCTGTATGCATTCCTTCATGAAGCTATCAAGAAATTCAGATACCGTCAAGATAATCAAAAAGAACAAGGATGTCTGTGAAATGTTTCTGTATACAATTAAGGCTGTCAATTTGACAATTTAAAAAAAGAAGGGAAAATATCATGTTTTTCTCATAAATAAATATGGTGGTCTTGGAATACACATGGTTGCCCAAAGAAAAGATAAAACCATGAAAATATGAGATGTGCAAAAAATAAGAAAGTGCCTCTCACAATACACTGAAGCACATGAATAGCCTACACAGGATTGTTAAGAGGAAAAAGCTGCAGGGTTAATTCACTAGCAGGACTAGATCATAAAGATCCTTTTCACACATCCTTCTGCCTTGAAAAACATCTCCAGATAATCTCTCATGCTGTATCCAAGTTCTCTCCTTTCATAGTGATGTTTACCTGCACTCGTGGATTTTGAATTACAACCCTTTGCAGAGGAGACAATTCTTGTTGTTTAAACAGCAGCACACAGCTCTGAAGGAAGTTGCAGTACGCAAATTTGCCGACACTCTTAAAATCATATTTTGTTATAAGTTGCTTCAACTCTTCATTGCTTAAATTCAAACGAAACTTCTCTATTATAGCTGAAAAATGAACATAGGTGTATCAAGTAGAACAGCGGTTCCCAACCTTTTTGGGGCTGCGGACCAGCTTGGGGGAGCGAGTTCCATGCGCGGGGGGAGCAGGGTCACCCCCGTGCGAGCGTGACACACCTCTTGCGGGCTTGCGGGGAGGTGGAGATCCGTATCCACAGCCCAGTTCCAGAAAACCCACAGACTGGCACCAGGCCACAGACCAGGGTTTGATGAGCCTTGGAGTAGAAGACATTACAAATGAGCACTCCTCGAATGCACACTAAGGTGGCAATATATCTTAAACTGCTGAATAGCCCAAGACTGACATAACTAGGGTTCATTAGTACAGCTCCATGAATATAACAGTATTAATCAACCACAATACTGTTTCACACATGAACACACTTTCCCTAATCACTCTCCACTGGGCTAGACAACTGGCAGACAGGTGTTTGAAGCAACTCCGCTGACACATGTTTGAGGTGAGATGAGGAGACACAAGCATTTACCTGTGGTGTTTCATCTGCAGCTACTCATTCACACAGAGTGTCTACTTGATATTCCAATCACGTGAACTAATGTGTGAGCTCTGAGAAATTATTGTGTTATTTATCTGCTCGAAGCAGTCTCAAGAAGGGAACAACAGAGAAACGATATGTGGTAATGTACAGAATGACAGACTTAATCTTTGAGCCTTGTTCTGAAAATGTGGGCCTGGTTAGTTGGGAAGGAAAATAACAGTAGATAACAATCCTGTTAATCTGTTAATCATTGTTGCTGTTTGCAGAACCAGGTTTCAGAAGAACTGAATACCAAACAGGGGTCTTAAATTATTATTAGGTGTGAAACACCGCTGTTCTCTTATCTCAGAGACTTGCATGAATGATTTACCACGTAGTCTCTGTATTCTAACTCTTATATCTGATGGAGACATGTTCCATGAAAACTTACATTATAATATAGCAGTTTGTCTTTAAGACGGCACATCTTTTTTTCTTTTTCTTTTCTTTTGTTTGTTTCTTCTTGAAATGCTTGCACAGAATAACACAGCTACAACTTCGAAAACTATGATTAAAATGCAGATTACCATGGCATGTGTATAACACAAACTAAAACCTCTTGCCAATTGGAGTGCCTCATATAATAACTAGTCTGGGAATGCTGGGGGAGGACTCTAGTCCTCTCAAGGGAGTGGGGTAGCATCTTCTTTACTATCTGCAACAAAGACTTAAGACAATAACCAACCTAAAAAGTCTTCCACGGGGATTTCTCCCTGGCGGTCAACATCTTTCTCTCTGCATTCCTTCAGTATTTCTCTCCAACAGTGTTGGACCACCTTTCGGATTTTGCTTTCAATGGGTTTACAGTTCAGAAGAGGTGGGTTTGGAACTGTTGCTGTATGCGGTCTGCTGCCTGCTGGGGTCTAAAAAAAGGGAGACCACTTTTAACCAAACTGGAGCAAATTCAAAGGAGGGCAACAAGGATGGTCAGGGGACTGGAAATCAAGCCCTCTCAGGAAAGACTGAAAGAACTGGGCATGTTTAGCCATGAGAAAAGAAGACTGGGGGGAGATATGAAAGCAGTTTTCAAATACATGAAAGGTAGTTATACAAAGGAGAGACAGGATCTGTTCTCAATCAACCCAGAGTGCAGGACACATAATAACAGGCTCAAGCTATAGGAAGCCAGATTTAAGCTGAGTATCAGGAAAAGTTTAACTGTTAGAGCAGTATGACAATGGAACCAATTATATCAAGAGCTGGTGAGTGCTCCAATGCTAGAGACGTTCAAGAGGGAATTGGACAACTACCTGTCAGATCTGCTTTGATTTGTATTCCTGCATTGAGCAGGGGACTGGACCCGATGGCCCAACTCCCTTATTCTATGATTAACCCACTTGCACCTAAGGAGGGAGAAACATTTTAAGGTACATTAGGACCTCCATGTCCACATGGTCACTATTTGTGGTTTCACTTATCTGTGGTCTCAAAATGTTAAAAGAAAAAAATCCAGATTTTTAAAAACATATACAGTTTTACCAGATTGGCTACTAGAGACAGCCAGAGACCATGCTACGAATTCTTGTTGTTGAATATAGATAGTACAATCCCTGGCACCCCCTAGTGGCCAGTTCTGGTAGTGGGCAGAGGATTCTTATTTAAAGTTTCCCTTTGCTTTAGAATAGTGAATTTTGTCAGGGAACAACATTTGGAAAGGTAATGGGCTTGATCCACACTGACAACTTTTCTGGAGCAAAGTCTGACCTCTCTTTTCTATGTCTCTTATCTTGCTGGTAGGCCTGTATGCCAGCATCAGCCTTTAACCAGCCACTTTTTCCCACAACTGTCTAAACCAACCTTGTGATTGCCAAGAGACTTCAGGGGTGGAATTCACCTTCCTGGAAGTAAATTATGCTACCAGACCAACCTGGAGTAGATTTTAGCACACACTCTGTTATCTAGTTCTGAATGGTGACTACAATGGCTATTTCTTCCCCCATCCCTTTTTCTAGGAATATTATAGATCTGAATGGAAGTCAGATAGGGTTGGCCACACTATTTACAGATCCTCTTAGGTACTGGTCATTTTACCTCCTCCAGTCTCTCCAGTCTCACTCTGAGGATGTTGTTGTTTAGTCGTTTAGTCGATCAATTTACCTCCTACACCTCTCCAGTGTCACTCTGAGGATGTTGTTGTTTAGTCATTTAGTCGTGTCCGACTCTTCGTGACCCCATGGACCAGAGCACGCCAGGCCCTCCTGTCTTCCACTGCCTCCCGGAGTTGGGTTAAATTCATGTTGGCCGCTTCGATGACACTGTCCAACCATCTCATTCTCTGTCGCACTCAGAGGATACATAATAACAAAAACAATTCCTAGTTCACAAGATCCAGTGCCACTTCATTCCAAATGTGGTTAAGACTTCTTAAGAATCACAATACAGTGGTGCCTTGATTTACGGCCACAATTCGTTCCAGAAGATGGGCATAACTCGAAATATAAGTTCAAGCACCATTTCCCATAGAAATGCATTGAAACCCCATTAATCCGTTCCAGCCGAAAAAAATAATCAAAAACAATAACTAACAAACAAACAAACAGAGTAAGCCCCATTGGAAAGCGACGGGGCTGAAAAAAAAAATCACAAACACCCCCCCCACACACACACAGCCAGCCAGTAAGCCCCATTGGAAAGCGATGGGGCTGAAAAAAAAATCACAAACACCCCCCACACACACACACACAGCCAGCCCCATCAGAATGCAATGTGGCTGAAAAATAAAAAATCACAAAAACTCACATTCTAACCGTTGGGGCGAAAGAACTACAAAGAAGCTCTTCGCCGACCAACGGTTAGTACCTACATTTTAATTCCCCACCTTTTCCCCTTGCCTCTTTTCTGTTTGCAACTTGAACCTCCGGCTGCAAGTAGAAGCAAAATCTTGCAGCCGGAGCTGGTTGCAACTCGAAATGGTTGTATGTCGGGATGGTCGTAAGTCGAGACACCACTGTAGTTTGCTTTCTACCTGATCAATGGCAATTAAACCAGAAATTGTGTTACAAATGTAAACATGGGAATTAAGATTGCTTTCTCTTTTTTACCATTATATAAACCCGCAGGGTGCCAGGCTGTGTTGCGACTTGTGAAAATAGTTGGGGCAGGTTCAAACCTCCCCTATCCTCAAATTATTACAAAATACTTCCTTTCTCATGGCTTTTAGTTGTTGTTTTTTAACAGCCAAAGAACACTTCACTGGCACCATCTGGGCAAGCCCCTCTTTTTATGAAATCCTAAACAGGCAAAAACAAACAAACAAACAAATAAATCAGGGCAGTCCATTAAGGGCCTGGTAGGCCACTCATAGCTTGGTATGTCATAAATGGTCAGTCTGGATACTGTGTATTCGACCAAGAATGGGCAAATCAGTTCTGGATACTTAAAGGAAGAGTGAGAGACAAATAATCAAAAACGAAGGACGTGGGGTTAAATTTCCCATTTCATGATATAGGAAAGGTGTTGGGCACAAAACACGTACTTTTTGGAGAGACGATGGAGAGGCTGTTTTGGGCCGTGAAGACAGCTTTGAAGCAGGCTCGGCTGGTGTTGTAGGTTTGCTGGGGCCATCTGGACAGTTTGCAGCAGGCAATTCTGGCACTTCTCGTCCTTCAGAGCTGAACATCCTCAAAAACCCAGGGTATTTCAATTTCCCATTAGCATCAAGTGGCACTGTGTTCCAGAGATTCTCAAACTACATAAGAAGAGGGCCATGTTTCAGCATATGTGAAATGAGGTAAAACATGTGACACACAGATCAAGATTTCATTTCTTCAAGAAATGTGCTCAAGACAGGGCTCAATTTTATTTGGAAACATTTCTCTTTGATGGAGTGATTCCTGAAATACCTGATGAATGGGACTGTCCTGACAACATGATGGAGGAAGTGCACTCTGGATCTGTCTGGTCAGAGTCATCATCATATATTCCAAGCTTAAGCCATGGCACTGAGGCGTGTTATCACAGATGCTGAGAATGGTAGGTATGAAAAGCCCAATAAAACTACAAAACAAATTGCAGAGACTGCTAGAACCACCATGGGAGAAAGATACCTGAAGCTTACTTTCAAATGAGGTGAGGGTATACATATCAAAAAATGAAGGTACACTTGAGCCTTCTTTTTTTTTTGTTCTGTCACAATTTAGGTAAAGGTGGATATGCTAGATATGAAGTTGTCATGGGCATCTCAGCAATCCAGACAGAAATTCGAATAAGTAACTTGCTTCACACCAAGTAGATGCCTTACTGAAAAATGACGGCCATATGCAAATCGCAGAGACTTCCTCTGAATGGCAACTCTTGTTCTTGTACATTCACTGGCTATGCAGATTTTCTTCAATTTAACACAAACCATTTTTATTGTGTTTCCACAAAATGAAACAGCATGTAGACCCTGGGTTATAATAGTGACATTAGCATGAACTATGTGTACCCTATTGCTGAAATTGTTTAAAAATGTACAATGGATAATCTAGACTCTGGACACCCACCCACCCCCAAATTAGTAAGGTATACAAGCCATGCAAACTGAACAAGTTGGCATGATTTTTCTCTCTCATTTTGAATAATTCATTTTATATTTTATCTATTCTGCATAATTTGCCCTGATCTGTCAAACCCATGAGGAAGATAATAAAGGTATGGAGCATCCTGAAGCATCATTGCCCTGACAAATGAAAACTATGGTCAATGATTGCTCTGGCTGCTTGCAGTTATGTTGGCTAGAAACTTTTTTTAAAAAAATAAGAGAGGTAATATTTTAAGGAAATATTACATTGATAACTCCATTATGCTAGACAACTGGCACTGTGAAAAATTAAATATTCTTAATATTCTCAGCATCACAGGCTATTCTTCCATAGACATACAGGTGAGAACAGTAGGGCCCCCTGTATCTGCCGGTTCAGTATTCATGGTTTTATTTATCCACAAGCTGAAAGACTTGCTATTAAACAAAATCACCATCAAGCGAATTTAAAAAACCCCTTTGAAACGCATTGAAAACCCTTCAATGTGTTCCAATGGGCTAAATACCTCATCGTAAAGCGAAGATCCTCCATAGGGTGGCCATTTTCCGGTGCCTGTATAACGAGGAATCCATCCTAAAGCACAGCGGGGAGCCATTTTACACAGCGGGTGGCACTTAGAGCCGCCGATCAGCTGTTTGAAAATCATCATCTAGCAAAATATCGGTTCCCGAAGCAAGGAACCGATCATAGTGAAGCAAATTTTTCCTATTAGAACATTGTCAAGCGGTTTCGTCGTTTAACGAGGTAATCGTTAAGCAAGGCACCACTGTAGTGTCTTAATACCTATAACACCCTGAGATAAGAACACATATGTTGAGTTGAATGCCTGTGGTGCTCTTTGATTGGCTGCTGGTGATGCTTTCAATAGAAAACTACCATTTTCCCAATTCTGGGTACAGGATAGTGTGCAGGTAGAAGATCTCCCAGTGGTCCTAGGAATCCAGGAACTGGGCCATCTAAATCACCCTGCTGATCTTTCTATCTTTGTTTTATTTCCTCCCTCCCCTGAGATAATAGCTTTATACACTACAATATATCATATATAGGGTAAAAGAAAGCTGTAACTGAACCAACAAGGAACCAGGTTGTCCTTTTGTGCTGGCACCTGACCTTGCAGAGGTTTTATCTACGCAGATGCTCCTAGGATGAGGCTGTTGGTTTAGGATTACAGTTATGCATGAATGAAAATTAAATGCTGCTATTAATAGATTTTATTTCTGAGATATAGATCTATACACATACATACATACACACATACAAAGGAATGGGATGTTTGCTCTAGATTTCAAAGAGACAAGGAGTAATCTTTCATATTTTCTTGAAAAACACACACAACAGAACACTTCCTGACAAACCATACTATTAGACCTTGAAGAAAGCACATCACATCTAAGGCTTTGATTTGCGTGTGGCAAGTTGCATTTAAACATCAAAGGCCAGAACTACATTTTGAATTTCCTTTCAACTTTCCCCCATTGGCCAAGCTGCTGCCATATTATAAATTATACAAAACAAAATACACTTTGCACCACATCACAAGATCTCAAAATGTTTTACAAGCATCAATTAAATATCATAAGAGCATTGTGCACTGGGTTAGCTCAGATTATTTTTAATGAACAGTTGAAGCCTGTCACCTTGGGAGATGTGTATAACATCAACAGTTTAGCGTGGAAGGTGAGGCAGAAAATGTGATCCATGATCCAACAAAAGGTGGCTGTAAAAAAGCCCTCTTTCAAAGCACTGGAATTGAAGTCAATCACAATTAATGTAAGTTTTATTGATTCCAGTTCCAGTTGTACTCTGTAAGAGGCTGTACTTCACGACTGAACAAACAGAACAGTATATTTAAGGACCAACTGCAATAGGGGAGATCTTTCCATGAGTTCAAGTGTGATGTAACAATTTCTAAACTCTGTACTGAGGTTATCTAGTGTGCCACAGATAACACTACTGTATACTGTTATGGTACGTGTTAGGTGTGATTATATCATTTATTCATCCTTTCATTCAGAGAAAAGAAACTCAGCTAGCATACCCAGTGGTATTCTGAAAATGGTAATCTGAAAAGGAATTGCTATAAGGTGATTCTGACTTAATAGGACATAATAACCTCTGAGGATACATTTTACTTACTTTAACATAAGCAAAAAGCAAATATCTCTTTGACATAAATGTGCATCTCCCATTTTAAGTATGCAGAAAAATGTGCCTTTACTATCAAACATTTGGGAAACAATTCTTGAATATGTAAAAATAAAAACACACCCCCATGTGCAACCTGGAGAATGTCAATGGCTACTAGTCCTTATGGCGATATTGACTATGTATCATTCTCAAGATCAGAAGCAGGAAGCCTCCCGTCATCGGTTGGTGGAAAGTATGGACAGAAACATGTAGCTGCACTCCTGCTTTGCTGGTGGACTTCCCATAGGCATCTGGTCGCCTATTGTGAGAACAAAGTGCTGACTGAGATGGACCTATAGTCTGGTTGAAGAACTCTTCTGATGTCTTAATCCTGCCTCTCCTTTGGCTTACCCCACCTCTACTTTTTATGGGAATTATATGTCCTATTTTCTACAGCAGATACAGGAAGGAGGTTGACCAAGGAAAGACCAGTGGATGTCATGGCAACTGAATGATCGCTTACCTTTAGTATTAGGTGTAACCAGGTAACTCAGCTGACAATCCTTCAACCTGGTGAGGTTTATTTAATAGTGCAATGATACAATCTCAGAAATAAGACACCTCGTGTGCTTTTCTTACCTGCTCATCAGTCAGAAGAAAAAAACGTCGGTTGCAGATATCTCTAAAGACCTCTTTCGAGACCACTTTTTCTTTTGCACAATCTGCCTTTTTAAATTCTTGTTCAATGGCTTGGAAGCGAGCCCCCACAACCTCCTGCACACGGGCAAAGACCTCTTGGATGGACAGGTCCCGGCAAGCAAATTCACTACGTTCTCTTTCACTCTAGATGGAACATACAGGGGGAGTGGGGGAGGGGACCACACAGAAATCACTGAAAATTGCATTACAGTTTGAAGACAAGGCCAGCATCTATCTTCTGCTCCAGTAGAATAAATTTGAAGGAACATTAGAAAATGCCTCTGGAAACGACCAAAAAAAAAAAAAAAA